GTGGCAGCTGAAGGACCAGGGTGGGTGAGGTAGTGGCTGGCAGAGCAGGTGGTCCCACATTTGCGTGCAGATAAACCAGAACAACTGGGGAGTGAGAGAGACTGCAGGGTTCCAGTGAGAGGAAGCCTCTAAACCTCTGACTGGAAAAACCTGTGGGGGGTTGAGCTGATAGAAGAAACTCTCAGCCTCTCAGGAGAGTTCATTGGAAAGACCATAGGGTCTCTGGGAATCAGCACCAGAAGGGCCCAATTTGCTTGTGGGTAGTGGAGGAAGTGGCTGAAAGCCAGCCAAGAGCTGAGCAAAGGGCATTATTCCCTCTCAGACCTCTCCCCCACATACAGTGTCACAATGCGGCAACATGAGTTGCTCCACACTGGCCAATACCTAAGGCTCTGCCCCTTACTACATAACAGGCCTGCTGAGACAAAGAAGAATGGCCCAAATGAAAGAACAGATGAAAGCTCCAGAAAAAAAAAAAAAACAACACTTAAGCGATGAAGAGCTAGCCAACTTACAGATTCAGGCTTCAAAACACTGGTAATCAGGATGTTCACAGAAGTGCTTGAGTATGATTGCAAAATAGAGGAAAGAGTGAAAGCTATGCAAAGTGAGATAAAGGAAAATGTACAGCGAACCAGTAGTGAAAGGAAAAAAACTGGGACTCAACAATGGTTTGGAGCAGAAGGAAGAAATAAACATTCAACCAGAATGGAATGAAGAAACAAGAATTCAAAAAAATGAGGAGAGGCTGAGGAACCTCTAGGAGAACTTTAAACGTTTGAACATCCAAATCATAGGGGTGCCAGAAGGAGAAGAGGAAGAGCAAGAAATTGAAAACTTATTTGAAAATATAATGAAGGAGAACTTCCCCAGTCTAGCAAAGGAAATAGCCTTCCAGGAAGTCCAAGAAGCTCAGAGAGTCCCAAAGAATTTGGACCCAAGGAAGCACATGATAATTACACTACCAAGATTAAAGATAAGGAGAGAATCTTAAAAGAAGCAAGAGAAAAGGAGACAGTTACCTACAAAGAGTTCCCATTCGACTATCAGCTGATTTCTCAAAAGAAACCTTGCATGCTGGAAAGGGTTGGAAAGAAGTATTCCAAGTAATGAAAGGCAAGGACCTACATCCAAGATTACTCCATCCAGCAAAGCTTTCATTTAGAATGGAAGGGCAGATAAAGTGCTTCCCAAACAAGGTTAAAGGAGTTCATCATCACCAAGCCCTTATTATATGAAAGGTTAAAGGGACTCATCAAAGAAAAAGAAGAGGATCAAAACCTATAAATAGTAAAATGACAACAAACTCGCAACTATCAACAACTGAACCTAAAAAAACAAAGAAACTAGAACAGGAACAGAATCACAGATGGAAATCATATGGATGGTTATCAGCGGGGAGGGAGTGCAAATGAGGGAAAAGGTACAGGGAATAAGAAGCATTAAATAGGTACATAGTAGATGGGGAGGTTAAGAATAGTATGGGAAGTGGAGAAACCAAAGAACTTACATGTATGACCCATGGACATGAACTAAGTGGAGGAATGCGGGTGGGAGGAGGGGTGTAAGGCGGAGGGGAATAAAGCAGGGGGGGGGTTGGTTAATGGGACAACGTAATAGCATAATCAGTGAAATATGTTTTTTAAAAAACAAAGAATTAGCTCTCTGTCAGAACTCCCATTGCATTTAATGAACCTGTTGCTCAGTCAGCATTTGCATACTATCCTGTGCCCACCTGCAATATATATGCCTCTCAAAAGCAGGAGACTGAGTCTTAGCTTTCCAAAAGATGCAGTAAACATTATCTGATGGATCGTATGTCTTTATGTTCCCATTTTCAACATTTTCTTTCATTTCCCAATTCTATTAGTTGATCATTTTTTAAAAAGATTTTATTTATTTTTAGAGAAAGGGTAAGGGAGGGAGGAAGAGAGGGAGAGAAATATGTATATGCAAGAAAAACATCAGTTCATTGCCTCTTGCTTGCCCCTAGGGCCCAGCCTGCAACCCAGGCATGTGCCCTGACTGGGATTCCAACCAGCTGACCTTTCAGTTTGCAGGATGACGCCCAAGGCACTAAGCCACACCAGTCAGGGCTAGGCTGATCTTAATGCCTGCTCAAAGATATATATGGTAAAGTATTATCATCCCATATATATACTATTACACATAACTTTATTTAAAATTCTGGTCATAAAATTTAGGTTCAAACATTCTGGAATTACTGCTTATCAGTCAATGGTTATGTAATGCCTTTGAGGTTCTAGGTGCCGGGGGTCACCACTTCTACTTTGTTTCAGGATTTTCAGTTTTTTTCAAAACGTATCTTCAGATTCTTATTTAATTGGTAATTGTCTAGATGTCTAAAATAATTTCTAGAAAAACAAAATCAAACCTTTGTTTTACGCTTACTGCTTGATTTCCAGTAGATGGCACCAAATACCCTTTAAAGTTCTCAAGTGAAAAGAATTCCTGGTTGGCTACTTGATTATTTCTTCCACCACCATGGGGAACAGTAATGCTTCATTCTTTCATCTAATTCTGATTGTTACATAACTGTATTTTTGTGTAGAGTGTAAGATAGGCCTGTTAGTGTTCAAATTTGCTTTTTTTTACTCATTTCAACCTTTTCTCCTTTTTTAATTTTTTGTAAGTGTGATTTTCAGTTGGTGATTCTAGGGAAGGATTGTGATTCTGAAATAAGACTAGCTTAAAAGAGTTGAGGGTAAGAGAAAGAATAACGATATTCTGAATGATCATAATAAAAGCAAAGGGAAAATACAAAAGTATACCATATCCAAAATTAAGATAATGAAATGAAAGCATTTTTACTATTGTCAGTTTTGGTACTTTAGTAGAATTGTATTATGAGTTTTCAAATTTATATTACAAATAACGTGAAATTTTAAAAATAGTCTTTAAAATTGTTAAATCCCCATTCTCATTTCCAATTTTTTACAAACCTTACTTTCAGTATGCATATTTAATACTTCAGTATGTGTTTTTATAAAGAATCAGTTTTTAGATCCAATTAACCATTAAAAGCAGAAAGTGTTTCCTATATCTTAGGTATAGTTTTACATTTATTTTACGTACTCTGTGAAGTTTATGTAATTTTAATGGATCTGTCAGACATAAAAAAGGACCCTTTTAAAACTTCCCATCAAATTACCTTTAAATGCTTTTCTTTTTCCCCCACTGTTTTTGAGTGTCAGTGTTTTGTAACTTGACCTAGAAATTTATTTCTTAATTGTATTGCCTTTAGAATAGACTACCAATGGGAGCATTGGTAGCATGGGCTCTGGGTGAAACAGCTCAAGGTTCAGTTCCCCTCTGGTTGGCTTCTCTGGTTGGAGACTGGGAAAGTCTCAGCTTCTGTGGGCCTCAGTTTTCTCATTTGCAAAATGTAGGTAATTAATCTACCTAGTGGTTGAGGATTAGATAATGTATGTAAACTACCCGACACAAAATAAGCTATTTAAAAACTTTTAAAACTCATCTGTATATTCAGGACTCTCAACTTACCAAGTTTTATTTCTACTTATTAAGATGGTATATTAACAGTACTTGGGTCTCGAAATAACGCTTCATCTCAGAAATCTTGACAGGCTTATGGAACAATCCTTACTAAACTTTTTAGTTCTACACATTAATATTGTATCACCACACAAACACGCCATTTATAGCCTTCTTGAAAAGAATTGTTTTTAACATTTTCATCTAGATCAAAAGAGAAGGAAAGATTCTAAGAGATTTAGATCAAGGTATCTCGAGATCCAAGGTCATTCTGTAGGTACAGGAAGTTTCTGAGTTTTTAAACCCCACTCGTGTGAGAGAATAATTAATGCCAACACTTTGGGTGGTGGGGAGTGCCTTTGGAGAGGAGCTCCGTACTGAATACAGCCTCCCCCGTTCCAGCGCTTTCTGAGGAGAAAAAGCGCTGGGAACTGACGCAACTGAAAGCCAGGCTTTTTCGTTCAAATTCCACAACTATGTGGCACCCACCGGAGCTCGGAGCTCACTGGCCACTTGCCGGGCTGCCACCATCGCTCTCCATACACACGGATTCGCTGCGGGAGGCCCTCAGCTGCCCAGATCCTGAGAAGCCTTGGAACGTCCGGAGGCACAGTTCCAGTCTTACACTCAAGGGACGCCCTGCAGGTCCCCAGAACTTCTCCCCTGGGATAGGTCCTGGCAACAGGTCCTAGTGGAGACCGGGAGGGGCCGGGTGGAGTCGAGGTCCGCGTCAGCGGGTGAATCAGCGCCGCCCGAAGCCCCGGTCACCCTCCCAGCCCAACCTGGATCAGGGGAGGAGAAGCTGGGGCCCCTGACTACCAGCCACTCAGGGATCGCCCGGCTTGGGGAAGGGTGACGTCATCGTAGCTGGGAGGTTTCGGAAGGCTTTGCCAACGGGAGACAGGCGAAGTGGCTGCTTTCTGTAGCGGTTGGCCAATACTAACAAAGCAAAAGGGGGCCCGGTTGTCGGTATAGAACCAATAGAAAACAGGAAAGGAGCACGAGGCGGAGTTGCGAATCCCGTTACCAATTGGAAAGAGGGTCGTAAGTCCCTCCCCCAATCGGACAAAGCTAGGGGCGGGGCAGTCTTTGGAGTGCCCAATGAGAAAAGCAGCCGAAGCGGGCCTGTCAAGAGAAGGGACTGGGGGCGGGGAGACGGTGAGTCGGGGATAAACACTCCGCGGCGGGGGCGGCTGCTGCTTGTCTTCGGGTTCTGTCACGGTGTCGGCGGTACTCAGCTCACCAGCCCCCTCCCCCTTCCGGCCAGCGTGGTCACCAGAGAGGCATTCTCAACCCTGCTCTGCCGACTCCAAAGCCGGGAGCGGGTGTCCGGCGGCGGCGGCGAGCCCGTGGGCAGTGGGGGTTGGTCCCGTGGCTCCGGCCCCCGGTGCAGAATGGCGACGGCGGTTCGGATGAACATCCAGATGCTGCTGGAAGCGGCTGACTACCTAGAGCGGCGGGAGAGAGGTGCACGGGGACGGGAGGGGTCCGGCCCAAACAGGGGCCGGGGGCTCTGAGGGGCCGTGCTGCGAGTGCGGGCGCCCAGCCGCTCCGGGGGTAGTTGGAGGCGAGGAGAGCGCGACCGCGAGCGCTCCCAACCCCTCCAGCTTTCCCCACGCGCGGTCTGAAGGGAAGCCACCCGCAACCCGAAAGGCAGTGAATAGGGGTGGAAAGGGGGCTGTTGCACCCCGGGGTCCCGGTGTCACTCTCTCCCCAGTCCGTCGCGTGTGAGGTACCGAGGGCCCTTGTAGCCAGGCCCTTGGTTTACCTCACCGGGGCTCTTCCCAGCTGACCCCCAAGTGGACCTGGCGCCCCGTCTCTCAGCCGGAGAAGCAGCGCCTCCCCTCTCCCCCCAACCCCTGCTCCGGGTGTTTGTCCCGCACCTTCGCCTGAGGCTGGGCTCGCTTAACACACCTGCTGGATGTTGCCAATGGGAAACCCGGGCTCCATGCGCTTAGCGACTTGCTGGGTCTTTCTCAACAATGAGCAGCTGGAATTCTCCCTACACCTGCCCTGAACTGAGGTATTCACACAATTTAAAAAATAATCATTGTTCTAAGAATTCCATCTTGCTCCGTTTATTCCCCCAATATTCTTTCCATTAAAAAAAAGTAAATTTTAAAAAGGAAATACTGAGGAGAGGAAAGAGTATTGAATGTTCTAGGCTCATTCATTAACTGGATCCTCCGGTTTTCTAGAAGCTGAGCATGGTTATGCCTCCATGTTACCATACAATAACAAGGACAGAGATGCCTTAAAACGGAGGAACAAATCCAAGAAGAATAACAGCAATAGCAGGTAATTTAGTAAATATTTCTCTTTTCCTTCTAGATTATACTGCAGATGACATAAACTGCAGAATGGAAGTTACCTATTGTGATCAGAACCCAGTAAATTAAGTGGCGATCTTGATTCAGTAATACACACATGGTCTTAAGCCATAGGAGGAAGCAACCCTTCTGTTTGGGTTAAAGGGATTGAAAAACGAAGGGGAAATTATCCATTTCTTTTACTTTTCATAATGAAAAATTTATAAACATGTTAAAGTATCCGACTTGGCATAGGTAGTAGGATTTCATATTTGATACATGATTTGCCTGAAAAACTAATGTCACATGTATTTATAATGGCAAAGAGGAATGAGTGAGATTAAAATCTGCCTTTTGGTAATGAGAAACAGAATATTAAAATATTAATATGCCACAATACTTTTACTTTAGCCTTATAGTTCTTAAAAATCTCTGAATTTCCCTAGGAAGTATTTGGTTAATGGTCTGTGAAATCACATATTAAAGCCCTGAACATAGTTCCTATACAGAAGAGTACTGTATTAATACTATTGCCCTTTTTTTCCCTCTTTGCTCTTGAAATATGTTAGCTAGGAAATGTTTTATTAAATCAATTCAATTATACCTTTCATGCCAGTAAATTAAACTCATTTATATTTTCATTACTGATTTCGAATCCTTACCCCTTTTCCATCCTGCAAGTAACTGTATTTGGTTAGCGTCTATGGCATAACACAAACCACTGAAAACCAGAAGCTTCCTATTTAAACCTAACTCACTTGTTCTTCCTGCCTCTTCTGTCCTTGATTCACCCTACTGTCCTTAGTGTTGGTGGAACCACAGGATGAGAGTGGCACACATGTGCTGAGCTCTTGAATAGGAAGGATGAGCCTGGTAATTAATTACCTGGTGGCTTTTCCCTTCCTTCCCATCTTCAGCATTACCTGAAAGTGGTAGCTGGTAGGTCTGTGCATGGATACTACTGGCCTTGAAGAAAGATGCTAATACTGACTTGGATTATACAATGATATAAAACAATTTAGTTATGTTGCATTTTGTTACAGTATTAATTTTTCAAGTTTTGTTTGGAAGAAATTTGAACCCTTTTGGTTCCTTTTTCTGGAAAAGTATAGTTCATTTATTGTTTTTATTCTTGCCTATTCATAATTTGAGAGGAATTGTCCTCATTAATAGTCAAGGCTTAATCCTTAACACTTTATTTTTTCCTAAGTTTCACAGAAAGTTGTCAGGGAATGTTCAGTGCTAGGGAGAGAAACTGAAGAGGATATTGATAAAGAGAAGTGGCTTGGTCCCAGAAGATAATTAGGAAAGAAAAATAATGATAGTTGAGAATTTCAAGACAACAGTCTTTCTCTTCTCTTTATTATGAAACATTATTTCTGAAAAAATGGCTGCAACTCCTGATTTTGGGGAAAGCTCTATTCTATTAATGGGTTTGGTTTTCTTTGTATGGTTCAGAGATAGGCGGCTATGGCGGTTGTCCATATTCTTGGCTAATAATGAATTAGTGCAATATTTTCAGTAATGCAAGCCTCTCTGAGAGACCATGCTTAAACCTGGAGAAGGCGCTAAGCAATCATATGAAACAGAAGCAGGTTGTTGTGTTTAAATGTGATCATTTCCTTCATGACCTGTGTGGAATGACCCTTGCCTGAACAGTGAGACATCGCCCCAGAGAAAGCACTTTGATCCTTTGATTTGAATTAGACTTATATCCAGGGCTTTGTAGCATCAAGATTTTGAACTGAAGTAAGGGCTATGGAGAGATTGCTGTTGGTTTACATAACCATTGGATAACAGTTTATTTTTGTTAATTCAGGTGGAAATACTGTGCTCTTTGCTTGTAGAGTCTGGGGGCTGGGGGTACTTCTCCTTGGATGCTAAAAAATAAGATTTAGCCACATACCAAACTTCTTTGGAACTAAAAATAAGGTTTTGAGTATCTCTAATTGCTTGTTTAAAAAAATGAATTATGAATATCAATTGCTTTAGAATCATTCAGAGTACTGGAATACAGGGACTCCTATTTTTTTCCTTTCCTTTTTGAAATCAGTTACTAATTATTTAGAATTGAAATCTAGAGTTTTTAAAAAGTATGTTAAATTGGTAAAGCAGGCTTTGGCCCTTGTTTGAAAGAAGAAGTTCAGGACTTGCACCCAGTTCTTTTATGAGAGTGCTGTATAGCTGACCTGACATGGGGAATCTTTCTGAACCAAGGACTTTTCTCATTCTCAAATACTCTGTAGTTTGACTTAGTTATCTTTTTGTTAAAAAATATTTTTAAATGGTGACATCTGACCTTCATCAGTGATTCCAGAGTTATCAAATATTTTCAGTAATCACATGGAAAATGATTTTGATATAAAGTATATATATCTTACAATGCTGTGATTAAAAATATAAATGTTGACCTAGCAATAGAGTTGGCAGGCAGTTTCTGAACTGAATATTATTTTAAAAGTCTGCTTTTTCATTAAAGACAAACTCAGTTTCAGTGCACCAAATGCACTGCAGTAATGCCCTAGCCATCAGGTCTAAGTTCCCTTGTGAAAATCACAATGTGTTCAACACCCATAAGTAATCAAGTAAGATCTGTAGTCCCCCAAATTCTGCTCAAAATTTGGAAGGAGTTGTGCCTCCTATAGAATCTATTAAAAAGTTTATTTTGAGGATTCAGAATTTTTAATCAGTTTCTTAAAAGAATCCGGAAGGTTTTAGTAAGAGTGTCCTGTGTGCTGTTATTTTCTCTATTCAGACGGCGTCCTTTTCAAATACCCACTCCCCTCTCCTCCACCACCTTCTGAGGGGATGGTACTTGAGGGTGGCCCTTGTCTACAATCAAACAAGGAAATCTTGGCCAGTTGTTGTCATATAATTTCAATCATTTAAAAAATCTGTCAAACTTTGAACTTGTTATTTCCCGTTAAAACTAAAATGCCATGTGCTTTTAAGCCAAAGGTTTGCATTGCAGGTCACATTCTTGTTAACTATGATATCCTGCTGGCCATTGCAATGGTAAACCTTCAGAAAAATGTAACTGAGTGTGAACACTGAGGAATAATCAGGTGAATCAATTTTAAGCTTTTAAGTTAACCAGTTTTAAAGTTCACATATCCTTTATCTAGAAAACATATTCGAAAACTGAAAGTACTGTAATGATTTTCTTGTGAATTAAAACTTTGTATTCCCAAGAGCCTCATGGAAGAGAACTTCCAGTGCCAGATTGGAAATTTCCCATTTCAGAACTACACATAAACCACCCCCCAGCCAGTCACTGGCATGAACAAATTTGGTGTTGCCCCCCTAATGTAAATGAGTGGCTGAGCATTCATGGGATCAGTGATCCTCCACGTTACTATGAGAATTTATCTCCGAGGCCTAGTCAGTTTCTGATTATGGCCCCACAGAATTCATGGCCTGAGCCAAGGCATTTTCTCCTGAACTGGTTAGATTCCAGAGAATTTCCATAAGAAAGGTCAGGATTCAGTGTCTTTATAACACTGAGAATTTCCTCAAGTTCATTTGTAACTAGTCAGAGAGGAATTGTGTGAGCAGGATATTGAAGTGTCCACATTGTCTGACTTCTTATGACCTTTGTGGAAACCAGTCTGTAAATTCTTAGACCAGACTTTATATCCAAGGTCAGCTATAAATACACTAAGAATATGATTTCACATCCACCACAGCTTTCATCCAAGGCTCTCTAATCACTGTTACAGTTGCTACCTCAATGACCCACGCTTGTTCAGAAGATAATTGGCAATAAGTTTTATTCCATTTTACAGAGGGATTAATCGAGGACCGGATGTCAAAAAAATTTTATGTCTTCTAAGGTACCAGTCAGTGGCAAAGCTGGATTTCAAATTTCACCTTTACTGCTGCTTTAACCGGGCTGCTATTATTGTTATATTGAAATGAGTTTTGGAAGCCCCTTCCTGAAATCATTTTGTAACTGTTCAATAGTTGCCTCTTTCAGGAGGTTGTACTTGATAAAATAGTTACTTCAGGGAATAGGAAAGATTAATGGGTTATTTTTACCCATTTAAAACTGTATCCAGTAATCAAACAAATTAGCATAAAAATTTGGTGTATACTATACCTAGAGAAAACTGCAGGGCTGAGGTGGGGGTACCACCTCCAACGTTGTACTCTCAGCCTAAAGAAAGTTTTGTGGAATTATATAACCCCAATTCACATCACATTGTGCAGCTGTTTTTGTATAAATAGACTCCTTTTATTTCCTTTCTTTAAATGGATTGCCTTTCCACTTGGGAATGCATGCCTCTTAGTTTGTCACTTTTCCTTGAACTCTATTTTAGATATTTACATTTATCTAACTCCCCAAAGGGACTAATTTCTTTAGTAGAGCCCATTGAGTTTTTCTCCCTTTCTCTGTCTTCTCTCCAACTTTGGAGGGAACGAAATTAAAATAATTCTGTTGGTTTTGAAGTAGTCCTTTAAGACAAAAACAATCTTACTCTCTTCTTATTTTTCCCTCTTTCAGATCAACTCACAACGAAATGGAGAAGAATCGGTGAGTTAGTGATTTGGAGGATGGAACTGGGGGAGTTTTGATGCATTTTCTATTAATTAAATTGAGAATTGTTTGCTCTTCTTGATTCCTCTCACAGGTAGCACCTGACTAAAGAGTTCACTACAGGCCCTCTAAGCAGCATTGCCCAGAAGTCACTTAGGTACAGGAAGGGCTTGCCAGTTCTAAAGACCACGCCCTCACCCTCACCCCGGCAGCCTCTAGAGGAATGCCTTTCTGTGTGACTGTTCCTCGAGCTGGAGTATTTTAGGCCCTCGGCAATTTCTGCACATGGTGTTTTAAAAAAAATTACATGCCACTGAATATAATTGGCAGGGCTGTCTCAAATCGTGTGTGTGTACATACACACCACACATACACGTATGTGTGCAGTTACAATTTACTTGTGAATAAAGATTCTCAAAATTCAGGCAAATACATGCATAACATGGAGATAATGACTCAGTAGAGGAGCCCTGTGTCCTCGCTGGGCTCCATTGTGCCACAAGCCTTATTTAATCTCTCTCACCTGAACTGCCTCTTGCTGCTTAAATCTTTTTTTTAACAAGCCAAAGATATAATAGCAGCTTATTTAAATCTTTATTTTCCAGATTAAGTTTGCCCCTCCTCAGTGATGTAGCCTGGTGGTTCTCAATTCTGTTTGTACATTAGAATCACTTGTAAAACTTTTATTGTTATTTTCAAAAATTATTTTTAATGTTCAATACATTATACATACACACTGACACTTTTTATTACAGAATTTTTCAGACATACAAAAATAGAATGAATAACGTAATCAACTCCTATGTATCCATCACCCAGCTTCAACAATTATCAACATTTTGCCACTCTTGTATAATTAAAACCACCCTTCCTCATGGGATATTTTAAAGCAAATCTATCTTTAGGAGACTTTTTACAAAATACATAACCACTTGCTTTTATTATACTGAAAAAAATTCATGGCAATTCTTTGTGGAGCTTTAAAAGGAAAAAAACAAAACAAAACCAATACCCAGACCTCACCCCTAGCAATTCTGATTTAATTGGTTTGGGTTGAGATGGTATACCAGTTTCTTTGTTTTTTTTAAAGCTCCCCAGGTTATTGTCACGTCCTTCCAGGGCTGAGAATCACTGAACAGTCATCACTCTGATCTCAGAGCTCTCTTCAATTTGAAATACGGGCAACCTATTCCAATTGACTTTCTTGATGCCCTGCATGAACATGATGGTGACGTGTGATATGGCTCTGTAAATACATGCGGTTATATTGAGCATACCCTCTTTGACAGGGGAGCCTGACTCTGAAAGTCAGGATCTGAACAGCATGTTTCATCATAAAAGGGCAGACCAGACCCTTACTAGGAAGGTACATCTTGAGACAGGGCAAGCATTTAATTAATCATTCCACTGTGTGACTGTGTAATTCTGTATGTGTGAGAGTGAGCGATAGTGAGGGATAGTGAGGTCTCGCTGCACACATGCTTCTCCCCCATCCCTTCCTCCCTTTCAATTTCTCTGTGATTGTGACTGGCCGTGTTTTAAGGCAGAGCTTCCTTTATTCTTTAAGGATTTATATATCATGAACTAGAAACTGAAAAATATCTCTTAAGGTGGAAAGGGAGTGAGATGTGGCTACTGTATTTCACCTTTACATTCTCTTCCATCTTCCTGCCTTTGAGGTGAACTGGGCAAACTGGAAGTTTTTCTACTGAAAATTCTTCTATTTCTCCTTCTCCCTTCTAACATTTTACTTAGGTAGGCATTTATTTTAATTACTAAAATGTCATCCCTTCACATAAAGGCTCGTAGGCTTACTATAGCTTTGTACCTGTCAACTCTGCAGGAATGCCTCAGAATGTCAATTTATCATTTATTATAGCAGTTCAAAGATGTTTGTTTTCTACCTACAGTGGCCCAAGAACTTGTGTTCAGCATTGGGCATTCAAAGAGTTCGTATGGAGTATTAAATCAGCATGGTCCCCATCTTTGAGAAATGGTCTGTCAATGAGAAAGACACAGTTTCAATTAATATACTGAGCTCTAAGATTAAAGTATCTACAGGTGGCTGTGGAGGCAAAGGGTCTAGAAAACTGGACTTGAAGTCACCACTGGGCAAGCAGCTTATAATTCAGACTGCTTCTGTATGACTAGTCAACTTCTGCTCATTGAAGGGTTACTTATCTAGTTTCCTTATTGTCCTTTCTTTTTTGGAATTTGGTCTTCTAAGGTCTGGATGATTCTTCCTCTAGCCTAGAGCCTGTAAACAGAAGAGAAGGAAGTAAGGACTCAAATTTACTTAATTTAACCAGGCATTGTTGCTGCAGTCCAGGGGAAGAGATTAAAGTTGTCAGGCGCTTCTCCCGTATTAGTGTGCATGCTTAAGATTTTGGGGTTTTGAGGTCAGTGCTGAAGAGTTGCTCTTATAGTCTCCCTGGTTTTGGTAGCTGAATGTCATTAAAAAGTATTGCTTTACTAAATGCTACTATGTGTGAGCTATGTTTTTTACCTTAACATCACATAAAAAGATTGGCATGGCTAAAAAAAAAAAAGGTAGCAACTTAGGGAAAAAAACTAACAGTGGGATGTTCTTTTCTCTTTGATATTGCAGAGTTGATTATACTTGGATTAGGGTTTTGTTTTTTTTTAACTCAGAAATCTTTTCTGTGGCACTTAAGAGATTCTGGGTATGCATCAGGACTCTACTCTGAGGATACTATACTTAACAAACAATACTATTTAAATAATGTTGGCATTGGTGAGAAGAGAAAGTACTTCCAGAATGGTGAAGGTGGGAGTTGGTAGCAGTGGTATTTTCCATTCACTAGATTAGGTATCCTTGACCACCAAAGATGCCATGAATTAGGTTCTGGGAAAGGGTTGGTTTATTATCACTCTCGATACTTGACCTAGGCTTCTCTGCATTTTAACTAATTTTTTGGATCTGGCCTCCTAAGGAAAGACCCTTTGTGAGTACATGGTATTTCTTTTTTAAAAAACTAATCTTGTCAAATTTTCTGAGAATTATTTACAACTATTTCATACTAAAAAATTAAATCATCCATGAATCTAGCAGCCAGAGGAAACCAAGGAACCTTTGAAATGTATCTTTCCAATTGGTTTTGGAAAATAACTTTAAAAAAATAGTTTAGTTTAGAAAATTGGAAAGTTCAGAAAAGCACAAAGAATATTTAAAAAATCACCTATAATAGACCTTGCAGCAGTGACAACTGCTAACATTCCTGCTAAGTTCTCTATCTAGACATTTGTGCATGCTTTTAAAAATCAGTATCAAATTATATAGTAAATATTTTTTTAATCTGTTTAAGCTACACTACAAACATTTTCCAACGTCGTTAAATCTTTTTTTAACACTACTTTTACTTTTAGTGAATGCCCAGTATTGCACCATATGGATGTGCCATAACTCATATAACCAATTTCTTACTTTAGGTTCTTCCCAGTATTTTGCTAATGTAAGCAATGCTTCCTTAATCTACCTTGTAGATAAACCTCTGTCCAATATCATAATTATTTCCTTAGGATAAATTTATAGTTGTAGAATTACTGGGTTTTGATGTTGACTGCTGGATTGCCCACCAAGCAGGTTATAGGCTTTATTTTCCTTATACATTCACAAGTTTGTAATTTTAAGACTTTTAGAAGTTTTATAAGTAAAAACCAAAAATACACAACTTGTTTAAATTTGCATTTCTTATATTACTAGCACAATTTAACAATTTTGACATCTTTGTGTGTGCGTGTGAGAGAAGAGAGAATTTCCTGTTAAACCTTTGCGCAGTTTTCTGCTGAGTTTGTCTTTTCCTTTATTTTGAAATGATTCTGTACTACAAAGGATATAACTGAGATTGCCCCTTTGTGTATCATATAATTGTCCAGTTTATTATTTACCTTTATGGAAGCAATCTTCTCTGACTATTTGAAGGCAGTTCCTCTATTGTATACTAAATTTTTGTTTAAGCTAAGTCTGTTTCTAGACTTCTATTCCACTGATCAGTCTGCTCTTCCTGTGCCAGTGTATGTTGAATCATTGAGGTTTTATCATGTACTTCAGGATCTGGTAAAGCAAATCTCTATCCTTCCTCCCTTCTTTTTTTTATTTTACCATATTCTTAGCTGTTTTCTTTAGTTTGTTTTTCCTGATAATTTCTATAATCAGTTCCTCAATTCCTCAACCCTCAAATTGTTTTGAGATTTTAAAAATCAAATAATTCCAATATAAATTAGCCTTAAAAAGTTAGTATTTACACATTAGATCTTTCCATCCAGATTTGGTGTGTGTCTTCATTTATTCAGATCTCTTTTCTGTCTCTAAATTTTGTAGTGTTTTTGTGTTGATCTTGCACATTTCTTATAAAAGGTATCCCTGGATTTACATATCTTTAAATTGCTATTGGTTTCCCATTGTAATTACTAATTAATTATTATTGAAAAAAAGAAAATTTTTAACCTTTTGTTGTTGTTATATGCCCTTTGTTGATAATACCACTGTTTTTCCTTCTCTTCACTGGGAACTCTTCTGGGTTTGAATGCCTTTCAACAAGCCTTTAGCAAGTGGAGACTGACTGGATGCATTTAAGCTGCAGCCAGTAGTTCAGGAGTCAGGTGCTAGAATGGACTCTTTTTCAAAAGAAGGCTCTGGCACCTCCCTTAATAGTAGACACTCGTTTTTCTGGAATGGTACACATGCTGGCTGGAATTAGGCAGCTGGTCTACAGAGATTACCTCTGTCAGAATCTTCTGAACCCCATGACAAAAGATTTGTGTGTGTGTGTGTGTGTGTGTGTTCTGTGGGGAGGACTCAGCAGTCTGACGTAAGCTGTTATTTTCATTTGGTCAAACAGTATTTCAGTAGCATCTAGTCTGCCATGTGAAACCATTTCAGTCAGGTCTCTTCTGGCAAGGTATTCTAGTTCATTGCAGGTCCCTGTACTTGTTTCTTTGGGGGTTTGGCTCTTCAAATAGCTAAGCTCCTTCACTCAAAGGGATAGGGAGCCTGACTTTTGCACTGGGCCTGAATTGTGGTATACATTGCACCATTCTTACTGCTTCTCAACACCTTAAGTACATTCAGATTTCACTCTAGGATGCTGCAACAAATCCACATTGCCTGTTGCCACATTAGGCTAAGGGCAAAGCCTGGTTATTGCAAGGGAAAAATACAGGTATGTTAATATGGTTTATGTGGATGGTATAGAGGAACACTCAGATTTGTATCACTAGAATCCATCTTTCCTCTTGGATAGATGGCATCTGTCCTTGGAAGAACTTGGAGAAGAGATATACACTGGTTATTCAGTCAATTTCCAATCCCCTACCTGTAATATTGGGGGCATTCCCTGACATTAACAGTCAAAGGGTGAGATGGAGCTAGCTAGTGCTAATTATCATACATATTTTGTATTTTTTAATTGGGCTCTAGAAAGGAACTATTAATGAGGCATACTTATGTATTTCATACTTTTAATAGAGAAGTGATTTTATAACTTAAGTGTAGCCACCCTGAATTGCTGCTTAAGCACTGTTCGTTCCTACACAGCTAGCGTACATAACAGCCTTTGTATTTTTTACTGAGATTACTATCAGAATTCTGAAGAATCTTCAAAACCTTCCAGAGTTTTAATTAAGCCACTTGGTAATAATTACACACTTGGTAATTTTCTATAAATGGATCATTTTAGAAAAAGGAAGAGAGTAGTGTTTTTCTCAAAACATAATTTGTAGCCTTCATCAGAATTTTTTGTTTAACCCATTAAGACTTCTAAACCCAAAATCCGGGTAAGGTTAGAACCTGTAATCACTTCGAGGGAGTAATTTTTCATCCCTTAAGATTTGTTCTTATTTTATACTAAATAACTTATTTTGCTCATTATACAGCTCATATATACCAATTTCTGATATTATTTTTATTCACCTCCAATTATCCTAAAGATTTATAAAGCTATTTCATTGGCTAAGTCTGTGTCCACACAAAAGTAGGAGATAAGATGGAAAAACCTTAGTGTTAAATAGGCTACTATTTATATAACCTTTTTTCTGCTTTGGTTAATAAACATAGGCCCAATTTTAATAAAAACTAGAACTCAGGTCTAATGTATCATATTCTTAAGTAAGGCTTTCCTCAAAGAGAAGGGATGTGGATTACTAAAGATACAAGATTCTACCCTTAGGTCAACATCTGCAGATACATTGTTATTTCTATTATTCAACAGAATAATAACAGAATGGAAGACTTGGTCTCTTCCATTATTTGGTAATGAAAGAAACAGAACAGTTAGACACATAGGAGGTCTCCAGCATGTGAATAAATGAATGTGACCTATTTGGAAAGGGAAAAAAAACTTAATTATAGGCTATGACAGCTTGAAAACCTTTATTTGGAGAAGTTAAGTCAAACAAGATGTAGTTGAGGCAAATGAAGAAAGAGGGCAAAGGGAGTCAATTCTAGAACTTTCAGTGGGAGCTGATATTTGTCATAGTCTGAAGGTTGCTCATGTAAATAATTCTGCAATAATTGTTTACTCCATGTTCAATCACCCCAAGTGATTTTAAGTTCCTCCAAGGGAGGGACTTGGTCTTACCCAATATTGTATCACCTGTACCTAGGAAGGCTGCAGCGTATAGTAATCCTTTGAGAAGTGCTGGTGGAATAAATGAATGAGTCCAGTGTATGTTTTAAGATTTCCACCTGTGAACCTAATAATTATCTACCCTCTTCACTCACAGGCTTCCATCCTGTTTGCTTCACCCTGACCTTATAATTCTTTTTATTTATTTATTTATTTATTTAATTTTAGAGATTTTATTTATTTACTTTTAGAGGGAGGAGAAGGGAAGGAGAAAGAGAGGGAGAGAAATATCAATGTGTGGTTGCTTCTCATGTGCACCCTGGCCCCCCACCGGGGACCTGGCCTGCAACCCAGGCATGTTCCCTGACTGGGAATCGAACCAGCAACACTTTGGTTGGCAGGCCCGCGCTCAATATAATTCTTTTTATATCTTTTTTCACTTTACGATGAAAATCTGAGGGAGAGAACTCATTTACACCTTCAGTGAAGAAGACTAATCTCTGATAACAATACCTCCCTCACAACACAGACACACACACATGCATACACCTGATCTGATATCATTCCCAGTCTTGACTATATCCACATCAGGAAGAACTTTAGGGTTAACACAGTAAGTTCAGGAGCCCTACCTGCAGATATAGCACAATCTACCCTTAGTCTTACTCTT